CCCGCCACACACACACACACACACACACACACACACACACACACACACACTTCCCGAGTCTCAAAGTATTGGTTTTGCGGAACCCCACTTCCCTCCGGGAGCGGGACTCATTTCTGACTGGGAAAATGGCCCAACACTGCCCCCATGTGGCGACTCTGAGTATTGCAACCAAGGCTCCTGTAAGTCAGACTGTCGGAACCAGGACGCCCGAGCGTTCAAGGGGGCGCAAGTACCAAGTGTGCGGAACCACTGGCCCCAAGTGTTGGCGATCTTTAGCCAACACGGTAGCGGAACTATGATTCTACCCCGAACTGGAATTTGCTGGTCCTTTCCCGGGAAGCCCACCATGTTTGCTCATCCTGTGAAGAGGCCGCCTTCTCAGATCTTCAGGCGAAATGCAATGGTTTCTTTTCGGGTGAGAAAGTGGCTGAAGCTCAACCAGAGGCTGAGGGGTCACCCAGGGCGAGCCACGTGCTGGGGACGGAGGCAGGGAGTGCGGGAGCCCCTGACCAGGGGAGCCCGGGACTGACTCTGTCCTGGGCATCTGGAATCTTTTGTAGGAAGGGGCATGGACGGTGGGTTTTGAAGGTTGAATACAAGTTTGCTAAGAGAAGAGAAAGACGCTTACGATGCCCACACTCGTCTTCGGTTTCAGGCTGTCCTTGCGGTGGCCTTCTGGGCCCAGGGGACAAAGACGTTTTGATTTTTGTCTGATAAGAAACCCGGGACTCGGAGAGAAGAAATGAAATCTGCTGTGCAGAGCGGTCTGTGTTGGTGCCAAGTGGTGAATCAGCCCTGCTCTTTCTCTCCTCTGTGCTCTTGCACCCAAAGTTGGAATAACTTCTTCCTCTCTAAACACTCCTGAAAACTCCTACTCATCCCTCAAAACCCAGCTCAAATTCTGGGCCCCTACCCTCAAATCTGAGAATGTGGGCCCCCAACCCCTCCTCCCTCAGACCCAGGGGTCCAGGCCCCCAGCCCCTCCTCCCTCAGATCCAGGAGTTCAGGTCCTCAGTCCCTCCTCCCTCAGACCCAGGAGTCCAGCCACCAGCTCCTCCTCCCTCAGACCCAGGAGTCCAGGCCCCCAGCCCCTCCTCCCGCAGACCCAGGGGTCCAGGCCCCCAGCCCCTCCTCCCTCAGACCCAGAGGCCTGGCCCTGGGACAGAGCCCCCCGAGGTGCTGGCACAGAGCTGGCTATGCTGATTCATTTATTAAGTCTCAGAGGCCAGAGTCATGGTCGGGGCAGAGGCCGGGCTCTTGGATTAAGCTGTCCTGTTTCTTCGCTTCCTCATCGCTGAGCCTAAGAGAGGAGGAGACACAGACATGCAGGGACGTGGGAGAGGGGAGGCCAGGACGCTGGCACGGGGACCGCTGACAGAGCCGCCCGCCTGCCGCCTCCTCCCCGCGCTCACCTTGTTGAAGAAGTAGATGGAGGCCAGGATGGTGAACACAGCGATGGCCAGTGTCACGTTCTGTGGGGAGGGGGAGGGAGAGAGGGAGGTCAGGACCCAG